TGAGATCACAAAAACACTTTTGGCTGAAATTGTAAATTTTTGCTCAAACAAGAAAAAACGTTAACTTCGGTTGCGCCGAAGCTATAATACCCTTCACAAATACAAAGGCCCCTTACAAGAACTTGATTCCGAACGTTCAATTTGTATGGCAGCTATATGATATAGTGATCTGATCTGACCAATTTCTGTGGAGAATAATTTGTTTTTATGCAAGCACTTTACTCCGATCGTTCAGTTAATATGGCAGCTATATGCTATAGTCTTCCGATCTATACAATTTCTTCGGAGATTAGATGAATGCTTTAAATAATAATACACGCCAAATTTCATGAAGATACCTCGTCAAATGAAAGAGTTTTCCATACAAACACTTGATTCCGATTGTTCAGTTTGTATGGCAGCTATATGCTATACTGGTCCGATATCGGCCGTTCGGACAAATGAGCAGCTTCTTGGTAAGAAAAAGACTTGTTCAAAATTTCAGATCGATATCTCAAAAACTGGGGGACTAGTTCGCATATATACAGACGGACGGACGGACGGACAGACGGACGGACAGACGGACATGGCTAAATCAACTCAGCACGTCACGGTGATCATTTATATATATACTTTATATGGTCTCCGCCGTTTCCTTCTGGGTGTTACAAACTTCGTGGCAAACTTAATATACCCTGTTCAGGGTATAAAAACTTTCCAGCGAAAACCAATGTTCGTGAAAAGCAGCAGGGGTTTAGATATGTTAGTATTGATTCCGGCTATATTAATACAATCACAAAGAGTTATGTGTGCGTGCGTTGCATGTCTATTTTTACATACGGATATGGCAAAGTGCCAGGATTTTAAAATAAAATATTGTTAAATTGCTTGAAGGACGGAAAAAGAGCTGAAAGGCAATGAAATGTGTGGAGCTCGAAAGAAGACAATGGGAATGGTAACACGAGCCGTTAATAAACAGAGAGAAACAAATTTGCTTATGAGGGTAAATCTTTGGGGTTGATTTACATATCCTAAAAAAAACTATCAACGAAGTCAATGGAAACACTAAATCTGTACCTCTTTCACAAAAATTTTCAATATTTTTAAATGGCAAAAGCAAAACAAAAACAAACAAGTAAGGAAGGGCTAAGTTCGGATGTAACCGAACATTTTATACTCTCGCAAAGTCAAATGGTATACTCGTTTGAGATTTCTTTGTGGATTGACTGATATTTTCGGTAGAAGGTCAACTCTAGGCACTGGGGTCCACATATTTAGTACTTAGGGGTTTAAACAGTTTTGGTTCGATTTAGACAATTTTTGTGGAAAAGTGAAAGAATCAGATGGAATTGAAAATGGTGTTACATGGGAAGTAAGCGTGGTTGTAGTCCGATTTCGCCCATTTTCGCACTGTTACATAGAAACATGAAAAGAACGTTATGTACCGAATTTGGTTAAAATCGGTTGAGCAGATCTCAAGATATGGGTTTTCACCTAAAAGTGGGCTGTGCCACGCCCACTGTATAATTTTGAACGTGGTTCCTATAAAGCCAATTTATACCATCTCAGAGATAAAATTTAATGTCTCTGGCGTGTTTAGTGCTTGATTTATCCCGCTTTTAGTAGTTTTTAACAGTAACGTTATATGGGGAGTGGGCGGAGTTGCCACCCGATATCAACTATTTTCACACCGTCAATAGAAGTGCTAAAAACATTTGCTTCTAGTGAATTTTGTTATTATAGCATTAGCGGTTTAGGAGATATGCACATTAAACCTATTAGAGGCGGGACCACGCCCACTTTTTAAAAAAAAAAAGACAGTCACCCGGATTTCAACTCGTCACTTCATCCTGATCATTTATATATATATAACCCTATATCTAACTCGATTAGTTTTAGGTGATACAAACAACCGTTAGGTGAACAAAACTATTATACTCTGTAGCAACAGGTTGCGAGAGTATAAAAACGAAAACACGATAACTTCGGCCGCACCGAAACTTCACTGGTGCATTTTTTCATAGCATAAAAGTGAATGAAAAGAATTGTATCCTGATTTTGATCGGTTATAATCGATGTCGAATTTCCTGACGATACATTGTCAAAAGAAAAAAACATTTCCATACAAGGACTGGAGTTGAACCGGTTTATAGGGGAGTTACCGATAATAATCTATGCTAAATTTCGTGAAGATATGTTGGCAGCTATATGCTATAGTTGTTGGATATCGGCTGTTTCGACAAATGTGCAGCTTCTTGGTGAGAAAGACTTCTGTAATATTTCATGACGATATCTCAAAAACTGAGGAACTATTACGTATTTATACAGCCGGATGGACAGACGGATATGGATCACCAATTCAACTCGTCACGCTAAATATTTATATATATACCTTTTAGAGTCTCTCTTTTGGGTGTTACAAATATCATGGCAAACTTAATGTACCCAGTTCGAGGTATAATGTATATTTTTGTTTTTGCAAGGAAATGTGTATTTTGCAACAAAATTTATGAGTGGACAAGTTTTCTTAAAAAATACGTGTGTTAGTGCTAAATTTGTATGGAATTTGTCTAGAACTTGGCATTCATATCCACAATGCAAAGAATCTGATTTTCTAGTTGACGTTTGCCACATTTTAAATAATAGCTTTCTCAAATTTGCATAATTAAGTGAAATAGCACAAACTTGAACTCATTTATACTCCCTACTGTATTGTCGACTATATCTTGAAGACTTCAGCTAAAATACTACACTAAAAAACTCAGTATTTATAGACATATATATAATATATGCATGTATTGAATATATTGCACCCATTATGAACATTTAAGAGTTCATCATTAAAAAACAAAAAAACACCAAGGCAAAACTAACACCTCGAAACTCAAATTGTTGCCTTCCAGCGAAATAAATAAAGCAACGTGGAGTCGGCAACTAGCTGACACCAACTGCGTATGCGGCTTTGGCTTTGGCTGGTCTGCGAATAACTCTGTGGCTGCGTTTACGCCACTGGCCCTGTGGTGAATGTTGCTGTCGTTGAGTTGGTTGATGCGCTTCCAGTTCTTTAGTTTGCATATCAATTCGACGTATTCAAATTCAGATTGCTGGCTTTGCTCTGGGCTCGAGTGTTGGTATTTAGTTTACCGCTACCAAATATTGTCTGTTTCCGTTGTCTAAACTTTCTAGCTCTTTGCGTTTTTTTCATTGTTTTTCGTTTCTCATTGCTACGAGTGGGGTTCTAGCTGACGGCGAAGCCACTTGATTGCCGATATTACTCTCGATAAATTGCGTGTGGTGAGAGTAAGTGGCGACTGTGAAATGTATACAAAGCAGCAGACGTTCACATGTACATATTTGCAAAATGCTACACTTGCGTGTGGGTGCATACTAGTCAATCTCACTACTCGACTTCGTATGTAATGATGGTTGAAATGTGGCACAACATGCATTTTTTAAGCACAATACGCAGACAGTGATTTGCAGCAGACGCGTAACAGCAGTTACAACACAGTGGCGAACAATACTGATCGATAATTTGTCGAAATTCAACGTTATATGCTACAAAAAGTCAATAATTATTCAATTTGCTTGAAATTTTTAATTTTAAATGTTTATTTGTCTTTTTAAACGTAAAGTAAAACAAAAAATTATAAACCGCAACTTAAAACAATAATTTCATAGGGAAACCAAACGGAACTCATGCGTCCAGTTATGCCCGCCCACCTTAATACATTTTGATATTTGATTTACTGTTATTTTTCGGAAGGAGACACGGAGTTTTAAGTTGCGTATGGTATTTTTAAGTAAGTATTAAATCGTGCAATTCGTTCATTATTAATTTAATTGTGGTATTTTTTTGGCAAAATGAAGGAAATTTTAAAGAACCGTGTCGTTTTGTTATAATAAATTAAATGAAAGTGTGAGGGAAATTGCAAAAACAACCAATGTTAGTAAAACTATAGACTTCTCAGTTCAAGGATATTGAATGACAATGATGGTCGCCATATGTAACGGTTGATTTATAAAAACAATAAATTAACCCCCAGCCTCCTATCTCAAGTCATTAGCAAGCCAGTCAGCAAGTGGACAGCCAGAAAAAATCGGGAGACTAGATCGTCTAGTCATGACAGAGAGAAGGGCATGGCTACATCGACTTTGCTCGTTGTACTCATTTAAATGAGCTGTTCGGAGTATAAAAAGGGAAGAGTTGTAGGATGAAGGAGAATGAGTTACTTGCAACTAAAATATAAAAATGAGAAGGTGACCGTTCGATAGTGAGTTCGGGGTTGCTTATGAGTAGCTTATGGTATTGCGACGTATCTAATAACAACATCAAGGTTGCATTAATATTCAGCATCCACCCTTATTATGTCTATAAACTATTATTTTCATTAGCATCACTTATAAATTGACCCATATATATTATATATATGTAGGTATACATATGTAATAAAGTCAACCGTAAGAACGATATCTATGTTGATTATATGAAACCAACCTACAATATACGTAAGATATGTTCCTTCTTAGCGTACAAGGGTATTATAAAGTCATATGTTAAGTCATGTGGATCAAGCGAAAGCTTGCGAAATGTATAACTCTACAAGGGTGATTGCGTGACACTGGGCTTTATTCAGCTGATAGTTTTTATGAAGCACTTAAACGGATCCAATGGGACTAGTGCAACTTATATACGAGTATGTATCTATTTTTTAGGAATTACATTTCCTTTTTTATTTAATGTTTGCAAGTGTTTATTTTTTAATTTGACACAAATACACCTTAAATCTTAACATTGCTGTAAAACATTATATGAAGCTTAAACTATTTTATATCTTTACAACATTGACGCTATGAGGAAGTATCAGACGAGACAAAAGGAATGGAGCATAAGTTCATATTAGATATCATATTACATACTTATAGCATGTGCGCTGACAACTAAAATCAATTCCCTTTTCCAACTCATTGATTGTATGAAGTGAGATGAAAATTAAATTCAACAACTTTGAAACTTATAGTCCTTCCGTTGAACCAAATCTTTTAAAAGAAATAATTTACGACAGCCAAATTATTTTTATATAAAGAAGTTTCGCCGTCAAATTTAAGAAAATTCTTTAAGTGAAATATGACAAAATGTGAGGGGATAAATAAATAATACAATAATTGAAGTAAAACAAACACATATCATGCCACACACGTCTATACACACCTACCTTCGTAAGTGCCAACGGATGGGTAACGAATAGGTGGTTGTATGAGAATAAATATGTATGTGGATAAGCAGTGTCTGTTTGTCTCAATGTGTGTGTTTGCTAAACCGAGCGCATGTTGACATCACCATCGGCGCAAAATCACCCAACATGGCGCGCTGAAAGCGTTAAGCAAACAAAGCGCACAAGGAAACACGCGCGCGTGTTTGAGAAACCTACAAAAATTGCATGTTTGTATTAAGTGTGTATGTGAGCCGTTGCAATTGTGTAAGTTGGCGTAGATGCTCGTTGTGGAATAGAAACAAAGCAAAAACGGAAAATAAAAGTAAAAGTGTTTAACTCCGCAATGGATTTATGCTGATTGCACGGGATTACTGGATAAATTGGAAAGGAATCAACATGAATTCCATACAATTTTTTATTGTCGCTCTTTTGGCAACTATCGGTAAGTAGCTGCTGATGACTTGGCTTTTCTATAATAAATATGCGTATATATATATGAATAACTGTACATACAATATATTGATGGGAGGTAATGCTTTACTAAATATTGACCAAGAATTTTAACTTCTAACGCACGAGTAAAAATAAAAATTTATAGTTGAATTACTCACTTGAAAACACTGTTATTTGCCATGTTGGAGCTCAATTTCCGTCGATATAATTCTTGCGAATAAAAATTGCAAACAATCCGTATAGGCATAAAAAAGCATGTCGTTAATCGGTAATAATGAATTTTCTGTCTTAAAAAAAAACTCTATTTCAACTGAAATCAGTTTTGGAATTATCAGTAAGGAGGTACAAGTCCAATAACGCTCAGAGTTATACACAGCATTGAAGGTCTGACCCATAATCTAAAATACAAACTAAAGATTAATAACAGACTAAAATAAGTCATAATTGTTAATTAGCAGGTCTGAAGTCCTTCAAATTTAGATAATAGTATATTCCTCCATAGTCATAACCTTCATAATTTATTTCAAATTATTGACGTTAAAGTTTTTTTGGTAAAAATTTACCCAAGCAGTCGATTTTTCTCATAGAAACTAATTTAATATACTAGGTTGTTTTGTTATTATTATTTTTTTTGCGAAGCAAAGACTTATGTTTATATACAGAAAGAGAATATTTAAATACAGAAATAAAAATAAAATATTGACTATTAAATGAAAAAAAAATTAAATGTATTTCAAATTTAAGCCTATTTAGAGTTTTTTATTACTGCTTTGGTTATATTAAACAATTTTTTTAGAGTACTTCTTACATACAAACTAGTAATAGTAGTTAATATAAGGTGCAGTTAGGTGCCAGCCTAAATTTTGGATGTAAGATAGGAGAGTAGTATATGCAATAAAACAATGTGTCGAAAAGTGTATAAGTCTTCCTTTAGTTATTACTACATCTTTGATGACAAATCAGTTGATTTCAAAATAGTATGTATTGTCGGAATGTGTACGTTTCTTTAAGTGCTACTAGCTGCTTATCAATTGTTACATCTTAGAAATGCTTATAAAGACAATAAATCAACCAATCAATGTGCAAACTTTTTTATGATTCGTCTTTGGCTTCGAACGGTCCCATTATCATACCTTATTAATAACCTATTCTGTCACTATCACCTAAAATATCAGACGCTACGGTGTATTTTACGTTATCCTCACTTTCTGAACAAGTTCCTATTTCACTACCATTTATTTTGTTTTAAAATCTTTGCTTCAAAGTTCAAACTTGTTCTTAGACGTGTGCTAATCTTTCCATGTTTACTTCTGTATTATAATTATATGGCACCGCAGACCGTAAGTATAAAAAAAAACCAATTATCTGGGGATTCCCCGATGTAAAAGTACAAAGAGCAATAAGATTAAGCGAGGCCAATATATGTATATATATCCATTAAGTCTATTTTCAATTTACAGGTGTTAAGGAAAACGAAGGTTCGTTAATCGGATTATTGATCACAGTACTCCGAATAGAAAAATAAATATACAAGTTTCTTCACAATAGGTCAAATTTGAACTGAAGAACCTATACGTAAAAAAATGTTAACAAGAAAGCTCCTAAAAATGTATTAATGTCATAAAAAATAGTAAACGTAAACTTTTCGAGAAAAAACAAGTTTCATACGTCTTTCATTCCTCTTATCTCAGCTCGATATCTTTGATCATTTTACATGCGAAAGCAGTATCAAAATAAGAGAGTTCAATTCCCTTCAAAAGGGTATGTGGATAAGCCTGAACTCTACTCGAGATCAAGGAGTACTAAATCTTTTACTTTATCTTGTTTAATTAGATTCAATAGAGCAAGTGGAGATACCTTATTATGGCCAATGTTATAATCTCTGGCCAATGTTATAATCTCTTGCCATTGTATCTTTGTTTGGTTATATCAATCTACTTCACTTATACAAATCGTTCAATTCGCCACTCACTAAAACGGACAAATCATATACACTTAGTATCGTAACAAAAATTAGCACAAAGGATATTAATAAGAAAGGTATTTATCAAAAATGCATCAATAAATGTCGAAAATTGCCTTTTGTTTCGATAATGTCTAAATACAATAGGAAGGTACAAATATACCTAAAATGTGAAACGTTTGGCAATAATATTTAGAACAACATACATATGTAAGTAAGTGCTTATGCAATAATAATCGATTTTATAATGAATAAGTTTATGATATCTACCTACACATATACAAATATACAAATATTTCGCAATTAACATTGGCGGTTTCCCATTTAGATTATTTATTTTTGAAACTAATGCGGAAAATAAATAAATAATATATTTTCAATTAAAATAATTACTTTATGTACTCAAGATAAACTAAAAAATGCATGCGTTTATGTATATTAGGGTGTCCGTTATTTATTGTAACAAGATGATTTTTTTTTTACAAACGATCCCTTAAGTTTCAGTTTTTGCTCTAAGAAAAAGCATTCAATGTAAAAATTATTTTAATTTTTTTTTTTTTGAACTGTGCCTCAATCATTTTACTCTTCCCATATATTTTACATGGGATTTTTTATTCTTTTGCAATATATTTTATATCTCCAAAGTAAATAAATCTAAAACCTAAAAAAACGACATTCTGATACAAATTTTTCCGTTCTACAAAAAAGGGCCTTCACAATTTTTTCATAAAAACGTTCTTTAAAAGTTATACGCAGTTAAAGTTATGCATCAAATATACTGTATTCATATAGTATGCCATGTCGTATGAGCAAGACAGAATTTATAAATCACTTTTATGAATGCTCTGGTCATTTGATGTTAAAAAGAAATATCGTGAACTTGAAAAATAACGGGCAACCTAACATATACGTAGCGATAATGATAAAAGGGACTAAAATATTCAACTAGGACATATGAAACAGAATTCAATATTCTTTTTATATAAAATAAAATCTTATATTATTTGAAACGTTTTTTTATTACTAATTTTCTCCGTTGCTGAATTCGTCATGTGGTGCAGTTTCAAATTTAAAGCTTATAGTTATGATTAAACCATTTACTAAATTACTTCAGTTTGATCATTTTCCAAAAATTGCTTTAAATACCTGACGGGTAATAGTATAACATTTACCTGTGGCTTAAGTTGTAGCGTATTTTCGGGATTAGCACTTACCTTCGCCTTTTATAATTCTGACTCTTCCAGCCGAAATTTTTGAGCATCGATTGATTTATCCACAGCCAAATCGGATCATTTCTGAGCATCAATGTTATGACTTGTTGCGATATTTGTCCACTTATTGCATATCTTTTTCTGGTTACTTTTTATATCCGGCCCCCCGAGAGAGTAGATCACGTTGGTAAGTGACCTTTACTGTTATAGAAAAAATTTACTCTATTACAAACTAACCTTTCATGTGGCGTAGTAATGATATTCTGCCACGAACAGCTATGAAAATATGCAACCCTACAGGCGACCGAACTCGGGTTTACGGGCTTACGTTTACGAATTCGGACCGATCACAAGTTATTGTATAGCCACAAATTTCATAGGAAGACTATTTGTGTACATGTAATATTTTATACATTATCACTGAAATCTAATCTATGTAATGTAATGTGCATTTTGTATTACCAAACAACTTCACATAACTCCACCAAAAATAGTCCAGTGGTATTAAATCGCACGATCTTGCGCTCACTAAAAGTTGTCTTCAATAAGTTGATAATTTCGTTGACTGTATGACAAGTAGCACCTTATTTTTGGAGCCAAAGGTCGTCCACTTCAACGTCCTCCAATTCAGGCACGAAAAAGTCATTAGTCATGGCTCCATAGCGTTCCCATTGACTATATGGATTTAGTTTTTGAAGAAATATGGACCAATGATTCCCTCTGCCCACAGAGCACACCAAAAAGTGACTTCTTGAGGATGTCACGGCCTCTCAACAATGGCTTGCGGATTATCATCATTTAAGATGCGACAATTTCGTTGTTTAACGTACCCACTGAACCAAAAGTGAGCTTCTTCGCTGAACCAAATGTTCTTGTGAAAATTGAGATAGGTGGCCAACCCGTTTCAGTAATAAATTTGCACATTTTGAAAACGTTGCTCCGGAATAAGTCTGTTCATTATAAAATTGCTAATCAAGCTAGTATATATAAATCAGGTAACAGCAATCAAAAAGGCCAACTTCGAAAATTGTGTAGCCTCATTGAAAGCCGCACTTCTTAAAAAACACCCGTTATATCCTGTTCGGGGTATAAAAATATTCTTTTGAATTAAAGTATTGTACATGAACATACCGTTAAATCAAAATTTAATAACAAAATTCGAGGAACTTATTTGATGCTGTTTTTATGGACAATTGCTGACTGCGGTAAAAACATTTATTATTTAGCAATTATTATTATGCTTCGCATTTGAATATGTTATAAAATATTTAGGTAGCCATCTATAACAATTTATAAATTATATATTAAGTGTTGACTTCTGCATCATATTATTTGCTATTAAACAAACTGTTAAATAAACAGTTGCATACGAGTATAAAGATGTTTTATTAAAACCGTTTATTTGTGTATTTTCGAAATAATAACTAAATTGCAACAATTGCCGCTTATGTATGTAAATATATGTAATTGTCTGCCATATTTTTTAATTAAATATGCAGTGTTCTCGTATAGTAAATGTATGTTTATATGTGTTTATGCATGTATAACCTTTGTATAGGTAAACAAAAGCCTTGTGGCCAACGGCGTTTATTTGATCTGCGGCAAATCAAAAACACCAAATGATGTACGCAAACTTTGTGCAAAAAATTTCAACGCTAAAACTGCATCGAAACAATTTGACAGTTAAGCAATTAATTTAATGGAGTTCGTGGTATTAAGAGCATGTATACAAATATGGCAGTATTACAGGGTGCCTCAAATGATTTGCTTGAAATGAAATAGATATTAGGGAAAGGAAAGGAATATAAGAGCAAG